AGGGATGGATATAATGAAAGGTTATTGAATAAATAAGAGGAGTAATAGCATTCAAGTAAGTTATGTAACTTATACAAAGGCAGAGAAACAGAATAATGTTGTATATATATCATGGCTTCTGTTTTCTTCCATTCTTTTGATGAACTAAGAGGAACTCTGTTTATAATTAGAGATTTAGCACTTCAACTTTATTGGTAGAAAACTAAAGAACAAACTGGAACATAAATTTTCCAGGCCAAAGGATATTTTATTACTCTTCATAATCCCTTCTCTCTGAAGCCATTGCCACCACCCTCTCCCAATGCCTCGGGATATGATTGGACATAATACACTTATCAGTGTTATTAGTTGATTCAATAAATTAAATATTGTCCTAAGGTAAAATAGAAGGACACTGTCTCCATTCATTAATAACACATTTTAAACTAATAGAGTAGTAGTTCTAAATATACCCTTTAAGATTAATAACCTGAACATAAAATATCATCCACAAATGCCAGGATGAAAAATAAATTATATTCACAAATTCTATTAAGAAATCTTTTTTGAATTATTAATTTTGACTGCCTCTCTCACCTACTGATTCCATATCCTATATAATAAAAGCCTAATATGCTAAGTGTCCAGTCGTCCAGTCATCCATTCAACCAATAAAAGTGTAATATGCTAATGATATGCTAAGGCCACTCAACCACTCACTATGACGTGCACTGACCACTATGGGGCAGATGCTCTGACTGGCAGGTTAGCTTGCCACTGGGGTCTGGCCAATTGGGACTGAGCGAGATGGGTCGGACATGCCCTGGATCCCTCCAGTGGTCCCTCCCCACCTGGCCAACCTCCTGCGTCCCTCCCCAGCCCCAATTGTACACCAGTGGGGTCCCTTGGTCTGGCCTGTGCCCTCTCTCAATCCAGAACCTCTCAGGGGATGTCAGAGAGCTGGTTTTGGCTGATCCTGTAGACATAAAAGGCTAATATGCAAATCAACCGAACGGCAGAACAACTGGTCGCTATCATGCACACTTAGCATCAGGGGCCAGACACTCAAAGCAGGAGCTGCCCCTGGTGGTCAGTGCACTCTCATAGGGGGAGCACTGTTCAGCCAAAAGCTGGTGAGTGCAGCAGCAGTGGCGGGAGCTTCTCCCACCTCTGTGGCTGCACTAAGGATGTCTGAGCAGGCCTAAGCCATCAGTCAGACATCCCCTAAGAGCTCCCAGACTGTGAGAGGGCACAGGCAGGCTGAGGGCCCCCCCCCCCCAATTGCACAAATTTCTGCACTGGGCCTCTAGTCCAATAATAAGCTTCCAAATCTATTTGTGTTTTGCCTTTCAATCCTCCTTTATCTGGGTAGTTTCTGAGTGTGTGAGTGCTCCTCAGAAGTGATTTCTTAGAGGTCAGGTAGGATGGAAAAGCATAGAAACTTGTTATGAGCACAGCATTTAGTGCAGTGTGAATTGTAAACATTTTTTTCTGGAATTTTATCTAAAAGAGCTTTGAAAAAGGATCTACTTTGCTGGCTTGCATACTTTAAAGATTATATTATACTTAATCTCTAAATTTACATCTTAATTCTAAATGGTTGCAAAAAATCCTTTCTGGCATGTTTGTGAATATTGACATTTAAAAATAAAACTTTCACATCATTCTCCTAAGTGTCTCCAAAGAACTCTAAATATAACACTTTGAAAGTCACCACCATTCACCATTTGAGTCCCAGCTTGTGTGGATCAGTTGGTTGGAGCATTGTCTCCTGCACCAAAAGGTTGCTGGTTCAATTCCTGGTCAGGGTACATATCTAGGTTGTGGGTTTGATACCTGGTGTGGGCACATACAGAAGGCAACTAACAGATGTTTCTATCTCTTTTCCCCTCCCCTCTTCTCCTCTCTCTAAAATCAATAAAACATATCCTCTAATGAGGATTAAAAAAAGAAATACTTGAGGAAGATCTGTTTTTGCACTCAGAAATTTCAAAATCAGTGTTCTTTCTCCATAAGCTTATATTTCCATTTACTTCTTTCACATAATTTTACACTAATACATTTTTATAAAAATATTTTTCATTGATTACAATATCATATTTCCTATAACAAAAACAAAAATATGTGAAATATATGGATGTCATATGACTGTATATATGAGTATATAAACATGTGCATATTTACGTACATACATATTTCCAAATATATAGAGAGAAAGGGAGAATTTTATTTTTATAACATCCTTGTAATGACACAGAGTTGATAAAAATTAATATATTAAATATTTTGATAAATAATTTTAAATACAAAAATTTGTTGGAAGTTAATGTTACTGATATTGGTAGAGGTTTTTCCTTTTCAATTTATTATTCATTACTAGGGAGAAAGGTTTCTATATCAAGTGTGTTCCTGTTTCTGGTAGTTTTCAGTATAAGCACTGAGAAAATTTATTTGCCTAAATAATTAGATAAAAATATACGTTTTTTGTAGTGATGCCACTTTGACTTCTGAGTTATATGTCCTGCACCCCTAAAGTCAACTATTGATCTAACATCAGAAATTATTTATGAAATACAAATTGTTCCAACCTCAACTGTGTTGAAAGCCAAAAAAAAGCCACTGGTGTTTCCTAAGTATACATTATTTTAGCAATATATTCATTCGGTTTTTTAACATCTATAGTAATATTTAGACTGCCGTGTGTGTGTGTGTGTGTGTGTGTGTGTGTGTGTGTGTGTGTGTTCTAGAGATCCATGTTTTTCATTGCAGTGGGAATAAAGATGATGGATTGGACATGAGGTGGTATGAAAATGGAACCAGAGGAGCAGCCTTTTTCTTAGGTGGATCAATATCAGTAATGAGTACACATGAAAGTTGAATATCTGAAAATGATTTCATTTAAAACCATTTATAGCTATGTCCTTACTAGTATAAAATATTCTTATTTTCTAAGGGTACCAGTACTCTAGATTTAACACTACTGACCTAGTTTAAATTAAGTGCTTGTTTGTGAAATGAATAAATGATTATGAAATGAATAAATGTATGAATGAAAATATATTTAAATTTATTTAACAATGCATAAATTATTTAACTTTAATACTTTAATATTTTCATAATAATCATGTGTACTTTTTGATAGCTATTGTGTAACATAGCCTAAACTTCAAAGGTATGTTTTTGTGACCACTGAAATTAATAATTAATGAAGTTGCAATAATGTCACATTTGGCAGACATAGAGTTAAATTAATTTTAATTTGGGAGGTTTTGCTTCTTCTTTTGTGCTAAATGACATATTTTTCTGGAACCTCAAACATTTTCACATGCCTATGAAAAGCTTACAGTCTCTAAACACTATACCTTTGTGGCTAATGCATAAAATAGCCCTAGTCCTGCATTGGGTCCACTGAAGAAGAAAAAGGAGATGGAAAATAGGTAAAGGCTTCAATTTTAGAACTTTTGTTGAGCTGACCTTGATCATGGCCCGTGTACAATAGAAATTAAACTCTCTCCTACCAAAAACAGGCTACTAGTCTAAGACTGGAGTCCCACCATTTAAAATTCAGTGTTCCTAAGGCAAGCCTTTTTTTTAAAACCTTTCATTTGGGGCCTGTTTTTTTGTCTCCTCATTTTGTTTGCCGCTTTGTATTTGTTTTTATGTATTAGAGATATCTACTATGACTTCAACTGTTTGATTGGTGACCTTCTTAGGAGGTGTCCTGTGGCCTTATTTAGTTGATCCCCTGAGCTGGATGCTCTAGGAATGCCCCTGTGTGAGTTATGTGGGCCCTCCTGTTAAAATGGAATCTTGATTGCTGTTGGTGCATTCATGGGTGGGATCAACCCTCAGGCTTGCTGACTTGAGGGTCAACTCCAAATATGGTGTGAGAGCTGTTGTACAGGTGCTGCTGCAATTTACCTTTGGATATGCTGTTTGTAAAATTGGTTGGATCCTGCTTCAAAGTTGTCTGAAGCAGGCCACTTGGTATGTTTGTTCTGAGACTCTTAGAAGAAACTTTGGTGCAGGCCAATGTCAAATGCTATCTGTGCCTGGATCTCATAAACTTGTTTGAAGCAGTCTTAATGAGGCTTCTTCTGTAAATCCTTGGATATAAGACTCCTCTTCAGCTAGTCTTTAGTTGGTTATTTAGTTGTATTTCCTATTTGTTCCTGGGTGGAGTTGAGTGTAATATCCACCTATTTTGCCACCATCTTTTTATTCCCATTATAATTTTGATTCATTCACATTAGATGGTTTTGTTGTGTTGGCTGTTGTCGTTTTGTTTGTTTGTTTGTCTGTTTTACTTTCTAAGGGAAAAGAGATCAGTGCCCTGGTCTAAATTATTAGGTATTGAATGTTTTAAAAATTCTTGTGGCTCACCAGTTGAAAATCCCTTCCCTAGATTATCATGTCTCCTTGATCTCTAGTTGCACCTTTCTTGCCTATCCCAACTCTAGGCAAACCTCACCATTTACAATCAATATTTTTGCTTCCAGTCAGTTGAACAAGTTGCCAAAAGCCATGAGAGAATGCTCCTGTTTGGCTCCACGATAAACCCCTATGAGCCAGGCCTAGCAGGCGCATAATCCATGCTCTCCCGTACCTAGGTGGCTCTGTGGTTCATTTCCAAAGCACATGTGTTCATCCATTTTTTTAGTATTTTCAAGGCTCACACTCATCTTACAGCCCTTGCTAGTGATCAATATCCTCACCTCTTCCCTCTGAGATCATGTAGCTTTGGCATGTACTACTGCCATAGTATTTAATCATTTTGTATTAATCAATTTTACACGTGAGAAACTGGATGTAAAGGCAAGCAAGTAGTCCAAGTTTACATACCTGGTAAGAAGCACAGCTAGATTTACAAGTCAGGTTTTCTAAATCCTAATTTGCTGTTCTTTCTATTTCATTAAACTCTCTTATAAGGAAACACAGTTTTTTATAATAAAAATAACTCCAGGATCTCAAAGTGGAAGGAAAATCTTCAGAAGAACGTGGACTGAAAACCCAACAATTTACAACTATGACCACTACCTTTCATTTTATCTTTGCTTTGATAAATTAAAATAAATCTGGCATCCTATTGGTTCACAAAATGAACTGCAATCCTTCAATGGTTAAAAACACCTTCTCTTGGGTTGAAATGAAATAGCTAGTAAAAAAAAAATAGAAAAAAAAATAGCTAGTCAGAATTGGACTTTCACAAAGACTTAACAAGCTACATTTGTTTGTTCTTATGCTTATCGTATTACCTGCACTCATCTCCTTTTATTTTTCACTGATATTTGGGGAAGTCTGACATAGTTAAACTTTCACTGGCAAGGGCTAATGCAATACACAGAACTGGGGTTGGCAGCCTCTAAAATGACCTCCAAGAGTCTCTATTACATTTGTGTTAATATCCTCCCCATGAGAAGGGCTGGAATAATTGACTTACCTCTCACAGATATAATGCTGTGGTAGCAATAGAATATTGCTTTCAATATTAACTTAAAAATGACTGTGGCATGCATCTTGGGAACGCTGTCTGCTCTTACTCTTGCACGTTCTCCAACTCCTTTTCACTGAAGCTTGTCAATAGCCAAGTAAGTGAGCTTGGATTCTTCCCCTCAAATTTTTCTTTCCTCTTCATAGTTCTTCTCCTCAATAAATAGTGATTCTTTTAAGGGCATAAATCATATTACAATTATCTCTGTCCTTTACACTATGTAATGTTTTATTTAGCACATATTGGGTATTATTTCATGATGTTGGAATCAGTCAGATATTTTGTAGTGCGTGAATCAGGAAAACTTCATTGAATAAAATACAATTTGTGGTTGTTTCTCAGATAATTTAATCAGGGTATTTGTAAGCCACTATTTACAAATCAATATCTTTCAGGGACAAAATAAATGAAATGATGCACAGATAGACTGGTTATTGTTTTCTCTAAATAATCCATATGTGTAAATAATTTGCATAGGACCTACATAAAAAGAAAACCCAACTTACTACCTTCAACTATCATTAAACCTGCATAGAAGTATATTTCTTGCACTAATATAATTCATAAGTAAGATCAAAGGATTTTTAAACTCCCAGATAGCATGCTTTAAAATCTGATATAAAGGTAACCATAGAAGACTTTAGTTTATTTAATTTAACTAAAAACAAAATCTCTGACATAATATATTTTGTGTTGTATATATTTTAAATTTTAACAATTAATGTGGCAAAGGGAATTCTTTATGCTAATGTTATAGCTCCTTGGTTGGTCCCTAACACCATTATCTGCTTAAATGAATAATTCATTACCTGTTGAAAACTTAACTATATCATTTTTACTTGATATGAATGAAACTTTGAAATGCAATTTAAGTTGAAAGAATTTAAGATTGTAGATAATTCCCATAAACCATCAAAAAGTGCTGTGCAGGCAATATTACCTAGCACTCAAGTGAAATCATTTTACAGAAAGCTCATGTGAGATTCTAAATTTTGTTTCCTTTGTAAAAATATTGATGAGATTCATTTCCTACTGAATTTTCACACTGTGCAGTGACTACTTTTACCTCTAGATATTAAAAACAGTATGATTTTTATTTTTTAGCTGTAGAAAAAAAATATAATCACTGTAAGCTGATATTTACCCTTCCAATGTCATGTTTGCCACGGAGAGAAGTCTTTTCTAATAAAGAATCCCAACACTGGAAATGGACTAAATAGATCAAAAAATTTTTTCAAGTGGAATTAATGCATTTTCATTTCATTGCATTCTAAAAGCTCAGTAGATGAAATAGTGGTCATCCATTCTTAGGAGAGAAGCTAATCAAATGTAACTGTCTCAAAGTTTTAAAGAGTTTGCCACCAATCAGAATATCTCCCCTTCCTGGTCCTATAATCAGGCAAGGGCACATATGAGAACAAAGATTTTCCTCAAAACTTGGAAGAGGCTAGTCACTTTGATCAGCATAGCAACACATCTTAATACTGGGAAAACATAAGGTCTATATCATATCACATGAGCAAACAGGAAATTTAGCAACATTCCATAATCAAACAAGCCATAAAAATAGGATAAATGTGTATATTACAAGAAATGATGCACTATTTCCTTATGTTCAATATGAATCTTTTAATCACTTATTTCCCATTATTGGTTTTGCCAAGAGGAAGTTCACATTAAAATTTATATCATAACAGTATAAAAATAGTTTCTATGTATTGTAGAATTGTGCCCATAAACCTATATGAATTTATTAATTAATATCAACCCAAATATTCAATAAAATTTTTAAAAATATATTTTCTATAACCTGCATTATCTTTGAATACATAATACATTTTGCCTTATTTTTATGTAATCTGAAGTTTTCTAAACTTTGCTTTTAAATGTCCAAATTGTACTTATATATTATGTAATTTTGAAAATAATTGAAATTATTTGTCAAACTAGATAGAGGAGAGATGGAGATAAGAGAGTAGAAGGAACAGAAGGAAGAGGAGGAGGAAGCAGGAAGAAATGAAGGAAGGAAAAGCAGGGAGAGAAGGTAGGAAAATAACAGGGGGGAAAAAAGTGGGCAGAAAGAAAGAGGGAAATCAAGATGTGAAAATGTTAGTCTAGTTCCCTTATCTTTTTATTTTATTTTAATTGTTTTCTTTTTCTTTATTGAGTAAGGTATTACATGTGTCCTTATCCCCCCATTGTCCCCTCACCCCCCCACACACTCATGCCCTCTCCCCCCTGGTGTCTGTGTCCATTGGTTAGGCTTATATGCATGCATATAAGTCCTTTGGTTGATCTCTCCCCCTCACCCCCAACCTCCCCTACCTTCCTTCAGAGGTTTGACGGTCTGATAGATGCTTCATGGATCTGGATCTGTTTTTGTTCAACATAAACTGATGAACAAAAACAGATCCCTTATCCTTGAAATTGTAATTAAATTCCCCCAAACCCTGCTCTAGTGATGTTTGCAAAACAAAAGCCCTTTGAACTTTCATGCCTTTAAGAGTTACTGTCTATACTTTTATCACGCTCATTGCTCCAAGTCCTATTGATTGCTGCCTTGTAGACCAGAATCTGAATACATAGGTCAGATCTTTCATCAGTTTCCACTAGAAATCAGCTGGTGTTGAGACTTTTGTTGAACTATTGAACATTTTAGAAAGGGCTTGAGGTGGCATTCACATTGTAGCTCTTGAGTAGTCTACAATTTCATTGGTTCACCTTCCTCAACACTCTTTTTTCTCACATATATTCTTCTTCCTTGATTACAAAACAATTCATGATAATTAAAGTCTCCTTTTCTTGTCTTATGAAAAACAGTTATTCTTATTTCCAAATATTGTACAGGCCTACAAGATAACTTCATATACACATAATTTCTCTCCTCCTAAGGAGAATTCTTTGCTAGTTATTAATATTTTAACAGACATTTAAACATAAATATATACATATTTATGGAAGGAAGTAAAGAAAGAAGGAAGAAAAAGAGACAAGTGCTAATCAGAGAACAATACTAAGGATATAAATATGAGGGAATCAACAGGCAGAATTTTATATAGTTAAAACCATGGCGGGATTCAAATATCGACCTCACTTACTAGCTTTGCAACCTAGAACACATCATTGAACTTTTCTATGAAATTGGGATACAAATCATAGTATCCAGCTAATGGACTGTTATGAGTCTTATATGAGATAATGCATAAAATACTTAAAACACTACCTAGCTAGCCCTCAGTATGTCATAGATATTTGTTAGCTATCATTATCACAAGTGTGATTATTATAGAAATCACCCTAGAATGACAAGAAATTCCTAGAGAAAGGTGGAGATACAAATGTCATGCACTGAAACATTGATTCTAATAAGCATGGAATATATTAATCTGATTTATTAAATGAGTGTGCTAAAAAAGAGCAGCTCCATCAGCAATTTACACACGCACGCACACGCACACACACACACACGCACGACTTTTAACTAAACTTCAACCTAACCTGACTGTCTTGCTATGTCCATTCCTAAAAGTCGTAATCACAGAGGAGTCTGGATAAAAAGCATTTCCATAGCAGAATCGTGATCAAAGTTGAAGGAAAGGAATATGGTAGGAGAGTCCTATCTTCACCCAAATCTTTAAACACTCCAATTTACAAACCAAATGTCTACATGGAGAGAAAACACACTTGAAAGCAAATTGACCCTTTCAAGTCTGAATATTTTCAGACCTCAGATGTGGACAAAAGGCTAAGACACCACAGATGCCTGGTGGGCTCTCTCCTTGAGGGAGACTATATATCCTTATTCGGTGAGCTACTGGGTTTTAGCCAAGTGATGTTTGTTTCTAAGGTCCATAGTAGAACTATCCTACAGCTCTCAGGCTGTATCAGACAGGAGAGATGATACTTAATGTCATCTTATTCTCCGGAGTACAGTGATATTGATGCTGATCACAACTGAGTTGAGATACCCTGTTTTTCTTACAATGAACATTATGGGCTTTATGTGGATTAGATCCAACACCATTTCCAAAATTTTACTTTTAACACTTTATGAATAAGTCAGAGGAACTTTAAAATCATGATCTGTCCACTGAACTCTAGACTTTCATTCTTTCCTAAAGTACTCTTTAGTCACAAATGTAAAGGGTGTGTACGGTGGGGGGTTGGAGGAGTATTTAATTAAAAAACTATAGCAATATCACCAAGAGGATAAAAAGTAATATTCTTTTGAATTTGCTTTTGTGCAGAAAAAACAGGCAGCCTTTTTATTTCTCTCAGATGTTATTTTCAGATAAAAGCACTCAATTTCCAAACACTTGTATTGTCAGCTCTGTGGCAGTAACCCTTTTTCTTGAAAAATAAGAAAATCAGAAATGTGCATAGATGCTTCTTAGCTTGAATCTGTGGCCACAACACTGCACCTTCTCTCTCAAATAACTTTATAAAACCAGGTCTTGCCTCATTTGTATTCCCTACACAACTCTCCCTTTTTGACTACCTTAGGTATTTTAAATTTAGCTTCAAGAAAAGTGCTGTTTTATGGAATCAAGTCCCCTTGTCTTTATCCTGAAAGAATTGTGTGCAATATTTATTTCCCTTATGTTGCAATTTAAAACACACAAGAAACTGTGTTGAATACCATCCCTCCAACACTCATCTCTCGATCACGGTATGCATATACATATTTTTATACAGTGTAAAATGAATTGAAGCTATACCTTTCTTTATTTTGGGCATAGTCTACCTGAATGTAGACTTCTAAAATTAAGGAGGTATTTACTTGTAATACTCTGCAGGGTAAATATTTTTCATGTTTCACAGGGTGAAAAATAAATAGAATACCATATTAAAAACAGGTACATTTACTACCTTACTGCTGTGCTACTCGAAGGGTTATAAAACATGCACATATATATGGCATTTTGTTCACAGTAAGCATTCAATAATAATTTAACTTAAGAGGGGTAAATGAATGAGAATATTACAATTCTAAAGAATCCCCAGGTACTCAAAGTAGCACATCAATTAGACTGCTTAAAATAAAGCTGTTATTATTTCCATTCAAAGTTTTCCTCTAAAATTAAAAATTTAGATTGGACTCCTATGGTCTTTTTTCTCAGGAAAACTTGGGTATTTTTCATAAATGTATGGTGATCTGCCATTAAATACATGAGTCATCTTTTCCTGTAAAGGATTTCTGCTCCTGCAAATACAAATTATCCAAATGAGCACTCACGTGATTTTTAAAAGAAAATTTCACATAAAATAACATACTCTAAGTACAGATCCATTCATTTAATTTGTTTGTTAAATTTATATATTAAATATAGTTGGTTAATTTTCAAAAGATTTACTCAGGAATTATGTATTTCTTTTAAATCACCTGAGGAGTATAAAGTATGAAAAATATTCCTCAGTGTTTTCTTATATACCTTGACATTATGCTTGATAATTGATAATTGAGGGGGGGAAAAGAAATTTAAATATATTGATTTGAAAGGCATATAGTTAAAATCACAAAGTAAAAACAAACTTTATATTTTCAATTCTAGTCACCTGTAGGGTTATTTTTGGCACCCAGAAGTACCAATGACGACATGAAACACATGAATCCTGCAGGAATTAAAAATGGGGAGGACTATATCATAACAAGGGAACTCTTTTGAGGTATTCAGTGTTTCTGCCATCGGTTAGAACCTGTGTGAAAATTATGAGGAGCCTTCCAAAAGAGCACATCAAAAGCAGCACTTAAGCTTTGCACGTTTCACAACCCAACCAAGATAGTTTATAAAAAATTTTAATAGTGTTCTGCATATTTTTTAGAGAATTAATTTAGTTAAAGTGTGGCATGCCTACAATTAATGGGCCTTGTTTAGTTATAATTTTATGGGAGTTTTTTAACCTTAATTATCAGCATTAGTCCTGAAATACTTTCAGAAATTGTTGACTGTGTTCACCAATTTCAAATACTTTAATAGTAATTTTCAAAGAGTTTCTGAATAACTTTTTAAAAAAATAAACCCATTCATTTAAGATCAATTGATCTTGGACAAGGATGCCAAGAACACAAAATGAGTATCTCTTCAGTAAATGATGTTAAGAAAGCTGGATATGTATATGCAAAAAACAAAAACAAAACAAAAAAAAAACACACACACACAAAAACAGATGAAATTGGATCCTTACCTCATATCATATACAAAAGTTAAATC